CATGTAAACAATTGTTCTGGAACCAATGTTTTAGAACTAAACATGTTAAGCAACTTAACACCTGAAGTTGAAATGTGTTTAGAAATGAGACGTGTTTAGAGCTAAACGTGTAAAAAAAAAAGTGAAACAAATTATGTGTTTAGCTAAAAGTGTTTAGGGAGTAAACATGTTTAACAACTAAACACATGAAGTCTACGTGTTTAGAAATGAGACATGTTTAGAGCTAAACGTGTAAAAAAAGTGAAACAAATTATGTGTTTAGTTTTGTGTTTAGGATCTAAACACTGTTTTTACAGTGTATTCGTTTCAGATACCAATATATCAATGAGATTATCCCAGCTTCAGAAGTGATGAGTTTATCAAAGTAAAAAAAAGGGTGACGCACCTGGAGGCGGGGGGTTCACTGGTCCGGTGGGGAGGGTGAAGTCGCTTACGTCATGTGGCCTTTGGTAGTCCTGTGGGTCGTTGATTTCTGACCATATCCTTGGGGATTGAAGAATTGGTGCCTCTTCGTCATCAGAGGATATAGAAGATAGAAGATGTTCTTCGCCATCATCAGAAAATGATAAATTCTCAAAATCTTCACTGTCGGAATTGATGTCCATATTGGAGTTATTCTGAGAGATCTAAGACTGTGACGTCATTTTTATCCCAAAATGACGTTCACGTCATCGACAATTTCCCACCAAAAAGACCAACAAAACTTCTATGTAGCAGATTCTTTTATTTCATATTTTTGATTGCATTGTACATTTAAAATATCGTTTATTATTTATAAAGTAAAATTCAATTTTCATTGGTAATTGCAGTTTAGTAATTTTTAATTCAAAGAAGTGGGAGGGGGGGTGATCTTTAGGTACGTATGGAACAACTTAAAAATTCTTTGGCATGTCAAAAAAAGGGGAGTGTCATGAAACATTCTAACAAAACAAAATGGGGGGGGGGGGGGGCTCGACACACCGGTCTAGTTTTCCTGCATTTATTTTTTTATCCTGATACACCTTCTTGCCTTTAAGAAATCAGGATCATTATTTTTTTAAGGTGTACTTTACATAAAAAATATACTATTAAAAAAAAATAGTTGTGATTATACGATAAAGTCGGAGATTTTCTATGTTTCCTTTCACTAGTACCCTGTTAATAATTTTATTGTGCAAATTTGAAAAATAACTTAATCTCTTAAGTTTTTGATTTACAAAAATCTTTATTTTTTAAAATGGCGATCAACATATCTAGCCATTTTTTTCCCTTAGCATGTATGTGTAAGTAAATATAAGTAAAACTTGAGGGAAAACTAAATCTAATATGTAAATGAAACATATTTAATTAAAAAGAGATATCGATTTTTTTTTTTAAAGAAAAAAGTTATACGCATATGTGTTTAAAATGATACAATTTGTTATATACAGAGAGAGAGAGACCGTGTGCATAACTAAAACGATTTACAGAAGAAAAAAAAATAAAAACAGAAATGTTAATTCATTATCTAATTTTCAGTATATTTTCTGCCCACAAGATCATTAAGCAATTCTAAACTTAAATAAAAATTTCAGTCATTCATAGGACGAAAATTTATTATAAACTGACCTTTGAAAACAAAACTTCTGAGGGGATTGTATGGGGTGTTGTCGGGTCATATTATTCATATTTAATTTAATATCCTTGCAGGACAAAATATTTTTTCAGAGACAGATTTAAAAATATATATGTATATATATAATTATTATTTCTTTCTTCCCTTAAAAACTTGAAAAACTTTCAAAAAAAGGAAAATCTGCCTACCCTCCCTCTACAAAGTTTTCGAGTTCAGGCTTCAAGTCAATTTCAGAATAATTATTATTCATTTCTTTTTTCAGTAGAGAACTTCAGAAGAGATTATTTATTTGTAAAATTGTCAACTACAGATTGCTTCAATCAATCCCCCCAGGAAGCAAATGATTGCCCCCTTGCTATCACGAAACGGATTCTTAAATTTCATGTGTCGTGTTAAAACATTTTTAGGTGATGTACTGATCATAATTGGCAAGCTATTATAAGTGCTTACAAAGAATCCATGCCTTCTCTTAAAAACTATTCACTATGCAGTATGATATTCGTTTTTTAAAGTCGGATTGTGACTCTTCATTAATTTGTTTAAAGTGAATCTATAGTAAAAGTACAAAAAATTTAACGTTATAATTTTCCACTAGAAAGTGTCTCTTATTGTGACGTTTTTGACGTCATCACTGTGAATTTGACGTCGTCTATATATGTATCACAGTTGTTCTTCAATGTTTGTCAACGGACAAGATACAATTTTTATCACTTAAAACAAGTAAATGCTTAAGGGAGTATGGTACTGACAAGTCCTAATTTCAGAGTAATTAAAACTCTAAAACATCCACATAAAATGAAAGAAGTACCTTTATATATTTCATAAAATATTATAAGAAAAGGTTCTAGTGAGTAAATCTAAAATTATGACGCACTAAAATAAGGGGGGTAACTCTGTATGATAAAGTGATATTTTTATAACCAATTTTTAAAAAATTGAGAACAACAATAAAAACAACATAAATTTTTTTTTTTTTTGAAAAAGATGTCATCCACAATATTGAAATTTTAATTTCAAAACAAAATAGTGCAAGAAAAAAGCCAAAAAGACAAATTAATTTTGATTCATTTATATCATGACAATTTATTGGGAAAATGGGTTCATTTATATGTACAACGTATTTTTTAATAATGAAAGAATAATTAAAAGTTTGATATCTTATGCTATATTTATAGTGATTTGCTTGCTTTACAAATTGCTGATAAAAAATTATAATGTTAGTGTGTGGTTTTGGAGTAATGTGCTCCCGAATTTCCTGACCCGAATTTCCTCTGCTCAAAAAGCTGTTATAAAATGTTAAAATAATGAGATTGTAATTTATTTACTTGCTTATAGTTTCTAACTCTCCTGATTTTGTCCTTCTAAACTCATTTTTTTTATTAAAGTTATTATTTTTCTCTTGTGACACGGCGGGCAATGCTTTTCACCAGACTTTTGCCGAACAACCCGAAGATCTTTCGATTTCCCGGTTTGGTTTTGTACAATATCGTGTACACGTCACTTCCAGTTTGCAACTCCTACACAAAATGCCGAATCGGAATCAAAGTTGAAAGTATACTTGGAGGAGGTGTTTACAATTATCTATGAATTGTTTTGAACAAAAAAAAAATAGAATTTGAAACTCCGGCTCATAATTTCTAACGTTTTAGTGGAACGGATGAAATAAAGTGAATTGACGAAGACAGAATGCTCGAGGCTTATTGTACATTCGTTCTAGTATGTCATCTGATATGTCATGTTTAATTTTAATTAATAATAAATCTTTCTCTTGAATGAATATTTTCTATCTTCAGCAATATTGAATGATTAGATTTGATTCAGTGACGATTAACTAACCAGCTATTAGAATGAGAGGGGGGGGGGGGGTCTGAGTAAAGTATATTGTCCTTTATCAGATTTTTTTTTGGGAAGTTGCCCCCCCCCCCCCCCCCCCCTTTTGAAATTGTTGCTACAAGTCTGACTAAACCAAGATACATGCTGTTGAAGCTAGGGAAAATAGTGACACCACCACAATATACTACACTATACTTTGCTATGCATGTGTACAATATGGTGTAGAGTAACAACAATATTTAACAAAATCAGATAAAATTTTAAGAGCTAAAACCACAAAGTACAAAAATAGTCCTTCACTAAAATAGATGAACTTATGTTTTATAATTTGAAGGGTTTTAAACTATTTATCTTAAATATCTTTTTCTAGTTTTCTTTTTATGGTTAAAATAACCTTTGTTTCTCTAATAATAAGTATCATAAGTTTACAAGTCAAGCAGCAGGCTTGTAGCAACGGTTTCAAAAGTTTGGGGGGGGGGGCACCTTCCCCCCAAAAAATCTGTGAAGCAAAAAAACAAAAAAAACAAAAAAAAAAAACTCACCAAAAATAGGGGGAGGGGCAACTTCCCAAAATAATCTGATCGGCAAAAAAAAAGATACCAAACTAATTAAATGTCCATTTCGTGGAAATTGACAGTGTAGCAACGGGGGGGGGGGGGGGGGGGGGGGGGATCACTATAGCAAACTACTATACTCGGAAAAAGTAGGTCCCCCCAGCATTCTACGGGCTTCAGCAGCTATGTAATACTGCACCTGACATAACTCTCACACACTGACAGGAGCTTATAAATGAAGATAAAAACTTACAGTACATGACGTGAGGCAGCTTATTACCTCCTCAATGTAACCATACGCATGAGGGACGGGAGATTATACATTCATGACATTGGGTCAGATTATGACACAGATTTGAGTCGTAAGCAATTTTTGTGTCAAGTATCAACTACCAATTAGCCTCCATTTGAGAGTAATAGACCAGGTACAAATAATACACCTTTTCTGCCAGAAGCCTTGAACTTGCTGGAATAACCTTGAGTCAAGGTCAGTTACTCAATACATACATGTAACCTTAGGTTATATGCAATATTTATGATCAGTATGAGCATCTCATGTTCTCCATACAAAATACAGGAATTCAATGTTATTCTTAAAATGACATTTAACTTGATCAAAGGATCTTGAGTCAAGGTCATGGCATGCATTTGGGTCATTAGCAGTCCTTGTGTGCCATTTTCATCATTTATCCAATGGAAAACCTTGTTAAAAATAAGGAAGATGAATTTCCCAGGTTCTACTCTTTTTTTTAACATGCAGTGTATTTAGCATCTGTTCATACAATGATAAGGTAATGAAATAATTTTTATAATGAAATATATTTAATATTGCAAAATTCATGAGAATCAAAATACATTAACATATTGAAAACTTATTTGCTCTATCTACAATTTAAAAAAGAAAAGAAAAAGAATTTGTAATTTGACCAAATTTAAATTAATGAAAACTTATTACATTTAGTACCAAACACTGACACTGTATCTAAAAATGATGCTATAGACATGGCAAATTCTGATAACACCAATAATGTGTCCACAACTGATGTCATGGACATTTCAAACAGACTGAAGATATATGACTCTTTTCATATAAAACTCTGGGGTCTTTCAACTGAAAAAGTCTGCATTCTGAGATAGAATCCACTTTACTTTTTATAACGAGTCACACACAGTTTTCAATTCACATCTTCCATCAATAACTCCATATCGAATTTGTTGACAATGCCAGTTTTAAACTGCATTCGGTAATACTGGGACATCATAGGAAATGATAGTGTATCCAGTGACTATAAACACTTTTCTTGTCGTTACTCAAAACTTTAGTCTAATTCTGATTGTTACAAGAGAAACGTCTATATTCACTTGTTATTGTACACCTTCATTCCATTTATTTTTAGACCTGTAATTTTGTCTGCCTGTTTACTGATTGTTCTTTGTGGAAAAAGTTGAAAACTTTTCTCGTCTCATTGCTGATATGATCATGATGTTCCCGCTCTCTGTAAGAAACAATAATCTTGTTTTAGTTATTAGTTCAGGTGATAAAATAATTTTCATTTTCATAACAATCAAATGATCTTGTCCACCTGATCTAGTCAATACAGGCCTACAGAATGGTTGTGTGTGTGTGTGTGTGTGTGTGTGTGGGGGTTCTGTTCTCCTTTTTTCCGAGAATAGTATTTGGCTATAGAGTAAATTTTCATTAAGATGTCGGTTGCACCCCCTTTTTAGCTCTACTGGTCAGAGACCAGAAGAGCTTATGCGATAGTAATGTGTCCGTCATCCGTCCGTCTGTCTGTCTGTCTGTCCGTCCGTCTGTAAACAATTTTTCAAAATGCTTCTCCTCCTACAGTTTTGGTCTGATTTCAATATAACTTGGCACACAAGTAGACTACACTAAGATACATAATTCTGTATATCGGTTTTTGATTTCGATGAACGGTGTTGCCATGGTTACTAAAAATAGAAATTTCCTTGAAATACCTTCAAAATGCTACCCCTACAGTTTTGGTCTGATTTTAGTATAACTTGGCACACAAGTAGACTATACTAAGATGCATAATTCTGTGTATCGGTTTTTGATTTCGATGAACGGTTTTGCCATGGTTACTAAAAATAGAAATTTCTGTGAAAAACATTCAAAATGCTACTCCTCCTACAGTTTTGATCTGATTTCAATATAACTTGGCACACAAGTAGACTATACAAAGATGCATAATTCTGTGTATCGGTTTTTGATTTCGATGAACGGTGTTGCCATGGTTACTAAAAATAGAAATTTCTGTGAAAAACATTCAAAATGCTACTCCTCCTACAGTTTTGGTCTGATTTCAATATAACTTGGCACACAAGTAGACTACACTAAGATACATAATTCTGTGTATCGGTTTTTGATTTCGATGAACGGTGTTGCCATGGTTACTAAAAATAGAAATTTCCTTGAAATACCTTCAAAATGCTACCCCTACAGTTTTGGTCTGATTTTAGTATTACTTAGCATACAAGTAAACTACACTAAGATACATAATTCTCTGTACCAGTTTCGGATTTTGATGAATGGTGTTGCCATGGTTACTAAAAATAGAAATTTTCTTGAAATACTTTCAAAACGCTACTCCTCCTACACTTTTTGTCTGATTTCAGAATAATGTGACATACAAGTAGACTACAGAGATACATAATTGGTGTTATTGTTTTTTGATTTTGTTGAATGATGTTGCCATGGTTACTTAAATCAAAATTTCAGTAAAATTGTTTTTAAAGGCTACTCCTCCTACAGTTTTAGTCTGATATAATAATAAATCTTGCCAAAAAGAGACTAAACCAAGGATCATTATTCTATTTATTGCTGTTGCAAAGTTTCAAGTCCAAGTGCTACCTTTATCTTCCTTTATAAATACAACCAGTAGAGCTACAGTCTCATCAGAGACTTCTGGTTTTACTAGAGGTCTGCATCAATAAACTTGTTACATGTATATGGGCAGTTAGTGATTTCACATACCTAAACCTGTTGGCTTTATTTCAAACATGAAATGTTTAATAAGTAAATAACTATGAAACATACAAGTTGTATGTCCCTATGATACTATAAATAAACAATAATTAAGTATGTTTGTATTTATGTATAATTCATAATATTTAATGTCAAACCTAATATACCAGTTAGTATTCATCAAACAGTTACAATTCTTGCATATGGTTAGTGATGGGAAATTGGGATTTTTTTCATAATTGATTATTGGAATAATGGGATGCACTTTAATTGAAAAAAAATTGATTAATTTCAAATATTTTATTTCTTCAATTTCAAATGTAGAATAAATTGTTTAGAAATTCTGGAGTGATTTCCAAAATACATTTTTGAAATAGTTTGTATCATTGGGTTCATTTATTAGATTATTATTTAGGATTTAGTTAAATTCAAAGAAGAATGAATCAAAAATCAAAGGAATAATTTGCTTTTAACTAATATTTTGAGTAATCGATTATCTATAATCAGGGACCATTTCGATTAGATAATTGATTTAATCAATTAATCATTACATCACTACATATGGTACTTTAAACTTTATCTAAAACTTGTCATAGGTATCAACTATGATATACATGGATTTGTCTTAAAGTGACACATAGGTCTAATTGACTGATTACATGTATTTTTATGTTTTTCTTCATACTGTAATATATCACTACATGTATAAAATACAATTTACTTGCTTACTAATTGTGAAATCTAGCCAATTATCAAAGAAAATAATCTAAGTAAAGCCAAGAAAAATGATTGGTTAAACCTGCTTTGTTTCCACTTTCATCATGTTCATGCTGGAAAAATTTAGAGTACCGGTAGGTACTGGTAGGCATATTTTTAATTTTTTTTTTTTTTTGCGTGGACTTTTTTAAATAAAACAACCAAGTAACACTGATGTCCAGTCTATGTGAAAGTTTTTTAGACCCATAGGACATTTGGTCCTGTGTAATCAATGAACACACAGGACCGAATCAAATTTTGTCGGACCAAAAAACCTAATGTAAAAAGTGAAACACGTGAAAATGCAGAGTAGTAAGCCTAACACCTTTTCTTTTACAAGGGATTGCTCCCGCATAGTACTGTAGATGGTCCATACGGTTTTAATCACCTTCATTTACGTATTTGGATTTGTGCGAAATTTTTTACTTATAACAAACATTTACATGACTCCCCATCAAAATAATAATGCTCAAAACTGGACACAGACACATCGGACATTCTGGTCCGGTGTAAAAAATGATGCATTGCACCAGAGGCACTGCACATTGGTCAGGTCTGACGGTCCGATGTCTTTTGCATAGACTGGATGTCAAAGAAATAGTGTTTTATTTATGGTGGAAATTTTTTATACATGCTATTATTGGGTAATTTAAAATGAATATTCATATTTTTCTTGAAAAAGCATTTTAAAAAATTAGGGTCAGCTACAAAGTAGGGTGGGTTCACTGGGTTGTGAAAGTGGAAACAATTTTGCCTAACAACACCACAGCCTAACATTTTGACAAATGTAAATGTACCTTAATGATAGCTGATGATCCATAAGTTAGGATATCCACAGCATGAAAGAGCTGCTGAAATGGCATGGACATTTTAGAGCATCTGTCATATCACCCCCAGTTCCATAACCCTCCTTCCAAGTTTCCAGTTAGCAGATATTAAGGGTTCCATATCCTGTTCCATCTCAACTTCATGTTCAATGTCCACAATATTAGGGATACCTATTCAAATAATATACATGTACATTTGTACTACTAAATCTATATAGCTGAGATTTCTTCCCTATCACTGCATATATGTAAACTAAAGATCGTTTCTCTGGTTTTCGAAAAAGAGTAGGCTCATTGGGGGCCGCCAGAGAAACCCAAAACTTTCAAAACCGTTCCTATAATATTTAAATTCCTACCGCCGAAATATGGCTGAAATATTGCCGACTCGGCGTAAAACAATAATAATCAATCAATCATATATGTAAATGTAGATGCAGTATATACAAAACAAGTGTTTTATTTTATTTTCATATTGTGTGGTCTACTTGATTATGATTCAATTTCACATACTCTATAATATGTATTGATGCTTTTAGCTTTCATGAACTCAGAAGAAAATTCAATTAAAAAAAATGATTATAGTCAAAATTGCAATTCAGACACTCCACCATCAACATAACTTGGAAATTAATAAGGAAAGAAATAATCTTAATAAAAAGAAAAGTCCTGTTTTAGGCCAAAGAATTTAGTAGTAAGTATTATTTTGTGTTGTAGTGTAGTGAATTTTTTATCTAGTATGTTTTGGAAGAAAATATTGTCTAGACAGTGTCCAACACCTTGCATCTGGTTACCTTCAAATTTCCTTGAGTTATAACTGTGTCTCATATGACTTGACATTTATAATAAATTATTGTTTCTTTTAATATATTTTCTATGTTTGCTAAGTTTAAAAGCATTAATACATACATGTAAACAGGATAGAGTACATGAAACTCGAAACGTTTTTCCAAAATCAAGCGCACCTGAATAACATCAATAAATTTTTGAATTTTTACTGATTCACCAACATTCAGGAATGCAATCATGTCACACAATATAAAAATAAATTACAAAACAGAATTGTATATAAATCATGTAAATTACCCCCTCATGTGTGCACTGGTAACCAGTGGTATTGTTTTTATTATAATATAGTGTAGTGCTCTTTATCCTTTTTTCGAATCTATATTGCAAACAACAACTAAGGAAGAATATAACAAATTTTATCTCAAAATCTCGAAAAAAAACTTTAACATGAATCGTCACTAATTTATAATGTTGTGTTTTCACTCATGCCCCCAATTCAGAAAAAAGTACCCAGTTCACTCATTTATATATATCTATTTTATCTAATACCGGTATTTTGCTGCGCCACAATCACTTTTACTGAATTGCTGAGGTAATGTTAGTTAAATGGTGTCAAATACTAGAGACAAACCTGGGCAGATCGTTTTTGCTAGGCTAGAGTTGTCGTGCGTTTGTGATTCGAATGATGGGTTTAATCTTTGCACAGTAATTTTCAGTCAGACGCAGCTCACCATCGCCTTTTTTGAGTCAACGAAGCCTTGCTGTACCGCTGAATAGATTTGGTTGACGAAAATCCTCGTTTTCTCCGCATTTCATTCTTTTCGAAACATCCGCTTTGTTTACATTACCGAAAAGTAAAATAAGTCGTAAAATTACCTCGACTTGTTGTTAGTTTGAATCCAATGAAATTTTAGTCACATTTTATATGATTTTATATCAAGTATATCTTTAAAATAAGTTGCATTGTAAATTTTATTTCCAACTCTGCTACAGAGATGAACGACATAAGATTCATTTACGTCATTCGGAGTTGCGCGGTGGATTCAAAATCGTCACTACCATACGTCCTTAAAATAAATAATTAATAACTTAAAATTTGAACAGATCAAAACTTAATATTAAATGTTTTTGATGGGACATATATGACACCTGTGGCAGCCAGTGGGTAGAGCCCATATATGACCCCTCTGGCAGTAAGAGGGTTAAAGCAAAACAGTTTGCACTTTAGTTTTGACGTCAAGTAAGGCATTATGACGTAACAATGGAGATATTCATGCTCATTCATGGTAGTTCATGAGAAAATGAACATTCTTCTAATTTGCAAAGAATCTTAAGGAAAAATATTTTGAAATGTAAATATTTTTAAATGTTCATTCATGTTACACTCTATATAATTCAGCTTTCATTGTATGATTAATATTTCTCTATATTGAAATTAAAAAAAATGTACTTTGGAAATAAAATAATGTTTATGTGTGGAACCGAGTGATCAAAGACTTGCACACTATTAATATATTTATATCTTTATTTATACGTAGACCCAATTGCAATCAACATACATATATTCAATACAATTAACAATGAATTTAGTTTAGAAGTTGTGCATTATGTAACCTATACTCGTATTAACTTTCTGTTAAATTTGCTTAAAATCCTTTGTAAATATATATATTGTTGTAACCGGAATAATTTTTGCTTTTATACATTCTAACTTGCTCAGCAAGTTAAATTAGGTTTTTGCGTTTAATAGAGATATTAAAGGTATCTTTCCTAGTTTTGGGTTCTTGAGTTCTAAAATGTAAATAGTAGTAAGTTGTACATGTACTTATATATAAGTATAGTTATGCATATAAGTATTGTGAATTTCCAAATAAAATGGAGTTGAATATTGATTGTATTTCTAGCCTTTCTAACTTCTTTCACTATTACTGCTATGATATTTACCTTCTTTTCTTCTTTTCAAACTCCTTCTTTTCAAAATTCTGTCCGCTGATATATGGCTGAAATATTGTTGACTCGGCGTTAAACAATATCAATCAATCAATCAATCAATCAATCAAACTTCTGCAGTGTTGGGAGGTACAGGCCCATTGTATCATTCTTTACTCAATGTATATGTTTGTGTCTCTTAGGTACATTTGACTCAGTAATATTGCATTTAGTATACCATTAACATTTAATATTTCTTTACAGTTACCCATATTTTCTCCTTCTCAAGAACAACAAAGTCATGGTTAATCATATAATCATAGAAGCATCCCTTAGATAATGTAGATTCAAGTTTGTTCAAATTGTGAAAACGGGGGATAGGGTGGTCACAGAAGGTAATTAAATTTCACATGGAAATATGTGGGACAAACCTTTTAAAAAAAAAACTCTTCTTCCAATAAACACAGATCTTTTCCACGGGATTTTCTCAGCAACCAATGGTTTACTTGGATGACAAAACTTGAATTTTAATAGGTCTATCTATACTTTTATGAAATTCATTTGGCAATCCTCAAATTTTTAGCCCTGAAATCCAGTACTGTTAAATATTGGCAGAATTTAAACACATTTAAATAAATGCTCAGTTATCACTATTGTTTAATAGAATGTTTTCAGTAATATACAAACCTTCATACATTTTCTTAGGCACATAGAAGTTCTGTAGATTTTCTGTACATCCTTTCATTACAGAAATCTCCCCCTTTTCGATGAAAGCTGCCACCATCAACAAAACAGCTCCAATATGCTTGCATGTCCTATGGGACCCTTTCCCAGCTGGGCACTCACAATGTGAATTTAACGATTCCCCATGGGGTTTTTTTTTCCGAGACTAATTTTAAAATTATAAGAAACCTGTAAAAAAAAATAATGGAAAAACAAGGTTAAGGTAACAGTTTCTTGTCTAAAATTCTTGTTCCGGTCGTATGCTTCAAGCTTGCATTATTGAGTCAAAAATATATTATTGAAAAGAGTGTACTAAGCACAACTGAATTATCTTCATTACCACTAAATAAACCAGGGGAAAATGTCCCTGATTTTGCGCGAGTGCTATATAAACACAGGTCGACTATTTGCGCAACTGGTATGCAATAATATTGTTTACATATGGTGAAGGTTTATTTCGACCTGTAATATTATTTTTCAGTTATAAATATATCATATCTTTGAAAAAAAATATTCTTACCTTTCAATTTAATCAATCTTTCTCCCAGTAGTCACGGCACCTGTTTGTGAAAGTTCGCATTTTAATCGCGGTACCGTCCAGTGTTTGTAATAATCCGTCATGTTAGTTTTTCTATACCCCTTAGAACTCGTGCGCCACCTGGCGAGTAATGAGAAGGGTATAAACTTTTACTCGAGTCTGTCTGCTCGCAAAAAAAATATTCTCGCGTCTATTTGTATTGTTAAGATTATATGCAACAGAGACAACAGCTCGCGAAAATGTTTTCTCGCTTATATATACCGAATATCTATCTCGCGAAAATATTCTGTCGCGAAAATATAAGGAGCTACAGTACATAAGATAATTAAATTTTTCTGCATTTAAAACACCTTAACGCAGACGGGGAGGTTAGAAAGGTAAATAATGATTTTTTTATGCATTGTGTGACACTACATCCTTCGAAAAAAAGTGATTAAATGTTTAACCACTACCTCTAAGTCTTCATGAACAAATTTACTTGTTATATACTTAGAGTATGTAGAATGTATAATTAAATGCATTCTGGAAATTAATAATTTTTCATTTGCAAAAAGTAATGTCACTTGTGTTCCGGTATCAAAACAAAATAATAAAGAATGAAATATGGAGATAACAAAAGATAACACCTGGCATGAACTCCATATAACAAATGAGGAAGTACTATCATTCAACTATTTTAGTATCAGGATTATATAATATAAGTGCATGCAGTTCAAAAATATTGAAATAGTGAAATCTAAATTGCTATAGCTTACCCCCAAAAAAGTTATTTTTATGAATTTCCTGACACTTTTTAATTCTAAAAGGATGAAACATCTGTCCACAAACTCTTGTTAAAACTTTATGGTATTAAACGAAATATTGTGATGAAAAGGATAATTATATTGTTTTTTTTTTTTTTGTTTTGCATCAAGAAATTTACAACAAGTCAAGATTTACCATGTATAAGGTATGTTAAAATTAATGAAAAAAATCCATTCGTACTATGTAATAAATTATTATTCCATAAAACTTAAGGATTCTTTGGATAGGAAAGATGGAAGTCGTGGTTGCTGTGATGGTACTTTTTTTAACATTGCATTGAAAAGATGCGAAAGTAAGTAAATTATTGTCACATTTAAACAATTGTATTCCTTAGAAACTGATGTTAAGACATATAGTTGGTTTGTATCTTCTTAATGGAAGCTTCAAGGATATGTTAGGTGATTTCTGTGTCAATTGATTCTGTAAAAAAAATAGTAGTATGGTAGTTGGTAGTCGAGTAAATAAGTGTTTGATAAAACAATGTTTTAAAACCTAAATATTTATGCAGAATTTATTTAACAGATATTGATTATTTATGTTTATTTAAACCTAGATCACATGATAGATGTAACAGTTATAAAAACTGATTAAAGTTAACGAACCTTATATCTTTATAAATTTAAAATACTATGGTCATATGGATGGGATTGCTCAACTGTTGACTTTGTAAATTGCCATTTGGTGATATTAAATGAAATAATTGATTTTTAGATAAAAGTTTCAGACTTTTTTTATTAGATAATTCCTGTAAATATAATGCATTATTGTACATTTAGACTGTCCCACTGGCTATTTTGGACTAAATTGCACGGATAAATGTTTGTATCCTAGTTACGGCATAGATTGTCAATTATCGTGTTCATGTGATAATATTTCTTGCAACTTTGCAAAGGGATGTCTACAAACAAGTAAGTATTGATTTGAAAAAAAAATTCAAATGTTCACTGCAGTGAACGCAGTTTACTAGTATGTATTGATCGTAGGTCCTCAAGGTCCTACAGTCCTACCGTGAAATTGGTCACCTTTTAACCTTTTACCTCAATTTTATTACATTTCCAACTTTGAAATACTGGGATTTATTAATTGAATAAAAGTGATATTTTCTCACAGTGTGAAAGGATACCAAAGTGATATTTTCTCACAGTGTGAAAAGATATCAATGTAAGTGAGAAAATAATTCCTGACCTGTCATAAGATAGAGATAGTAACTAAAGCGTCTTGATAGAGACTAAAACTGCCAATTTCTCCCCAAATATGTTGCTAAAATCTATGTCACAATATTTTCAATCTCACAGCTTCTAAGCTTATATGACATCTCAACTTTGACGTCAAAGCATATGACACTGTGTTAAGAAAAGGAGCAAAATAAAAGAAATGTAATAAACAGAAAAATCGATGTTCTGTAGTTGGATATGGAATTTATTTCACTCGTGAGACATGATTGATTTTTTTTTAAATTTTCACTCGTGCTTCGCACTCTATTCAAGATGTGTAGTATTTATGATTGCAAGATTCCAATCAGAAAGAAGAGCTAATTTTGCCCTTCCAAAGCCCAGACATATACTTGAGAGTTTCATTGAATCAATCATTAAGGTCTTTCGTCTCAACGGAAGACCTTTTTATTATTCTGTTGTTTCTTTTCAACTTTTTTTATTATTATTATTCTTACCGATTTTGTGCACGCGATTTCTCGTAAATGCATCAATGGATTTTCATGAAACTTTCAGCAATGATGGCAAATTAGATGAACTTAAGGAATTTTTTTTATTTTAATGATGGCACTTCCGGTCGCGAGTTATACTTGATTTTCTCCTTTTAAATTGAAACTTTGTCTGTGCCTCTTCTCAAAAACGGTTGAAGATGGAGTCATGAAACTTTCTGGGATAACAGATCATGATCTGTACATTTGTGTCCTGTGTTTCGTTTTTTCCGGCGTAACTTCCGTTGTCCACCGGAAGTAGCTTAAATATATGCGATTTTTGATTTCTTTTTATTTTTAAATGTTTATAACATTGGCATATATAGTGCTTCAAGTCATTTCATTTCAACCGGAAGTTGTACTT